TTCTTTACTGTTGTTATTGTTATTATTATTATTATTTGAACTATAATAATCACTATTTTCATCATTATTATTCTTAGAATTACTATTATTCTTATTATCATTAACATCATGAACAGCATTATCGTTATCATCATCACCAATATTATCATTATCTTCATTATCATTATCATTTTTATCATTACTGTTATTATTCATATTCTCATTATCATTATCATCGTAATCATCATTTAATTACTATCTTTGTTATTATCATTATCATCATAATTATTATAGCTATCATCATTGTAAATATTATCATCACTATCCTTATTCTTGTTCATATTACTATTATCATCATTATCATCATTCACCATTATCACTATTTCCATTGTCAATAACATTACTACTGTCATTATTGTTATAATAATTATTACCATCATCATCATTATCATTATCATTATTATCATCATCATATCTTTAGAAATCCGCTAATGAACAGAATCCTATAACACCCACAGATTTTTCCTAATTCTTGCGTTCTTCGGATTCTGTCAGTTATATAAGTAATAAGAGTAGATTGTATAACAAGCATATTTTTTCTCCGCGCGTCATACAGACATACCAGTTACGTATTCTACCTGTATCAGTTATATAAGCATTCCACAATGATAACATGACAGGTATATTTGATCATCTCGTGTGTTCTACTGACATACCTGTTATATATTCTGCTGTTTGTGACGGTTATACATAAGCATTATACATTATATAACAAACATGGTTCTCTTTGTTCGTGTGTTCTACTGATAGACGTTATACAATATTGAATGGTAAATGCGAATATCATTACAAACAAAAGTTTTAAAAATATGCTTTTGCTATCTATTACCAGTAGGATTGTGATACGATATAACGCATATACATAGCCTATCGAAGGTAAGATATAACGCATATATATGGCCTATTCAAGATAAGATATAAATGTATATTCTCTTTCTATTTGATTCACAATTCATCTAACCAATCAAAACGAGAGTTCACACCTACGTGGTGTAAATATTGGTTTGGCTCTTTTACTTCTGAAAAATAAAATACATTTGGCCTACTGTATTTCATATGAATAATTACCATTATTCTTAGATTCATAATCCCTTCAAAGAAATGAAGACGGATTTACTATTTTTCTATTCTGTTCACAATAAAAACCCTTGTTCACTCGATATCTCTTCTCTCAATGTCTACCTCGTTTGTTTACTTGTAATTCGGACAACAGAAAAAATGAAAATGTAACACTTTGGCTTAACATTCTCTTTCTCCAGTTGACTAGAGTGATGGAAATATACTTTTTCATATACCTTCAATCCACAAATCGATCATTTACCCCAAACACCAATCCAAGTCAACCATTCAAACCTAAAATGTGAACAAGTGAAACCGGTCTCGAATCACTTGTTTCGTTATCTGTTTCAGACGCAGAACGACGAATACGTAACAACAAAACTCGGGAAAACGGATATCATCCCTACATTTTAATATCCTATTTATCAATCCATCTAAAACAACCCTTACGACTATCCAATCACTAGTTAACCCTTCACCCTTTCCAAACTGTGAAAGCGAAACGTCTCGAATCACTTATTTCGTTATCTGTTTCAGACGCAGAACGACGAATACGTAACAGCTAAACTCGGGGGAAAAAGAATATCATATCCTATTCATCAATCCATCTAAAACAACCCTTACGACTATCCAATCACTAATCAACCCTTCACCCTTTCCAAACTGTGAGAGCGAAACGTCTCGAATCACTCACCTGTGTTTCGGACGCCAGAACGACACACTCGAAACGCGGGACGAGCAGCTTCGTGTAACCCTTGAAGAAGGCGTGACCCGTGACAAGAAGGACCGAAGCCCATCCCAAGTAACGCTGTAGGAAGCTGAATTCCCTCCAGGTGAGTCCTGCTGAGACGGAGGGAAGCGAGGAGACGCCTAACACACCCAGGACTCCTAGTAGGACTATGCCTGGAAGGAGGAAAGAGGGTTAGAGAGAGAGAGAGAGAAAGGGGAGAGGTGGTGGAAAGAAGGGGAGAAAGGCTAAGAGAGGGAGAGAAGAGTAAGGAGAGAATGGTGAGACTAATAGAGACATAAAAAATAGACAATAGAGAGAGAGAGAGAGAGAGAGGAGAGAGAGGAGAGAGAGAGAGAGAGAGAGAGAGAGAGAGAGAGAGAGAGAGAGAGAGAGAGAGAGAGAGAGAAGAGATATAACAGGGACATAAGACAGACAGACAGACAGATCGAGCAAGAGAGAAGAAAAAAAGAAGAAAAAAAAAAAAAAAAAAAAACGCATGACAAGATATCAATATTTAAGGTTATTGAAAGAGTAAACAAATAAATAAATACATAATAAAACATTAAATGACATATAAAACCACACACCAAGAGCAATGAAGAGCTGCTGAGACCAACGCGCTGGTTCGGCCATTCCTTCGTCGATTTGAGTAAATACAGCCATGCAACCCTGAAAAAAAAAATTCCATGATAATATTTACGTTTTTTGATGTTACTTGTACTGATATTTTCAAAGTATTGTTTTAGTTATGTTTTTTTTTCTATAAGCCAAAGCTGTTATCATTACTGCTGTAACATGATCGTTATTTTTATTATCAAAATCATTAAAATCGTCATTACTGATATCATTACTATTTCATAATCTTATTAATAGGGCTGAAATAGTAGTAAAAAACAAACGAGAAAACAAGTAAACTGTATTTATAAAAATTTACTTGTTACGCCGAGAAAATGAAACGAAAAATATCACGTATCGCCATCTTGAACTCACGTGAAGAGACCCCATGAAGAGCGCCAGCAGTCCCATCTGTTTTCGAGACTTCAGCCACCTGTCGAGCCAGCTGGGGAACGTGGAGTACTTGGTGCCTCTGTACAGCTGCAGGTAGCCCGCTATGGTACCTGAATAAGAGGGAAGAATGGCGTGTTTATTTCGTTGTGCGAATTATGGCGCAGTCGCCGAGAGAGAGAGAGAAGGGAATGAAGCTTCGAAACGCCTGTAACAATATATATTAATAGTCAAATTGCTTAGGGTTCGAGAAGGGATTGAAGCGTGTTTTGACATGATCACGACTGTATCTGTGAAAGAGAGGGAGGAGTGGCGTGTTCATTTCGTTGTGCGAATTATGATGCAGTCGCCGAGAGAAGTGGAGGGAATGAAGCCTCGAAACGCTCGTAACATATGCATTAAACATCAAATTCCTTGGGGGTTTGAGAAAGGATTCGAAGCGTGTTTGACATATTGATCGCGATTGTAACTGAAAAAGAGGGAGGAATTGCGTGCTCATTTCGTTGTGCGAATTATGGTGCAGTCGCCGAGAGAAGTGAAGGGAATGAAGCCTAGAAACGCTCGTAACATATGCATTAAACATCAAATTCCGTAGGGGTTCGAGAAGGGATTCGAAGCGTGTTTGACATGTTGATCGCGACTGTATCTGTGAAAGAGAGGGAAGAATGGCGTGTTCATTTCGTTGTGCGAATTTTGGCGCAGTCGCCGAGAGACGTGAAGGGAATGAAGCTCCGAAACGCCTCGGAACATCTACATTCAACGTCAAATCCCTTGAGGGTTCGAGAAGGGATTCGAAGCGTGTTTGACATGTTGATCGCGACTGTATCTGTGAAAGAGAGGGAGAAGTGGCGTGTTCATTTCGTTGTGCGAATTATGATGCAGTCGCCGAGAGATGTGAAGGGAATGAAGCTTCGAAACGCTCGGAACATACACATTAATCTACTGTTTTTTTTTTCCTACATCTATTTATTAATTCCAATTAACTTACAAGAATCTGGAGAAGAACTAGAATACATACGAATAAATATTTCACGATTATGGAAGACGATTAATAGGAAATGATAAAAGTAAATAACACATTTGATAATATATCTATTTTTGTTTTATCGAATCAGTGAGCAGAAATATGTTTGCAGCCCTAAATTTCTAGGCAACATATGGAAATTAACTGCACTGATTCGTGACAAAAACAACAACACACGCACACACAACACACACACAATACCACACACAAACACACACACACACAAACAAACACAACAAACCTCCTTACATCCCCCCCCCTCAACATACATACCTACTCCCTCACCCGTCCCCACTCCCATCCTCCCCCTCCACCCTCCTTTTCCACTTTCCTCTCCCCCCTTCCCCTCCCCCTCCTCCTTTACCCTTCCCCCCCTTTCCCCTTTCCCCCCCCCCCCCCCTTCCGTCTCCCTCCCTCCCTCCTTTACCCCTTCCCTCTCCCCCCCCCCCTCTTACCAACCTGGCACATAGCAGAGCAGCAACATGACGGTTCCAGAGAGAGCGAAGGCCAGCATGCCATTCTTCAACGGGAATGTCTGGAATCGATTCCAATTCCAGCCGTCCGTACTGTCCAGATTCGGGCATATCTGTCTCCTGTTTTTTTTTTTTTTTTTTTTTTTTTTTTTTTTTAATGAAAGAAAATGGTCGAAATAATTATGGGTTTATCATTATCATTGTTGTTATTAGGGCTGTCGTGCTATCAAATGATTTTATATAAGCAGTAACTTTATTTATAACTTCTTTTTAAAAAAATTAATTTGTCGTTTTCGTTATCACTTTGATTGTTGATTTCACTATCGTTAACTTTATTATTACTTATCATTCCTATCAATATTATTTTTGTCATGAGTATTACAATAACTATTATTATCATTATTGTTACCATCATTACTATTATTATCATTATTATTATCATTATCATATTGCTATTATTATTACTATTATTATCATTATTATTATCATTATCATTATTGTTATCAGTATCATTATCATTCCTATAATCACTATTATTATTGTCATCATCATCGTCATTATTATTATTATTATCAGCGTTATTATTATATCATTATCGCTTTCATTATCATTATTTCCATCATTATTACGAATTATTTTCAGCATCAGTTTCATTAATCATATCATTAACATCCCATTACTATCTTTATTTACATGTCTTATTACCTCCGCCAAGGAAGTTATGTTTTGGTAGCGTTGGTTAGTTAGTTTGTTGGTTAGTAATAAACAGATTTTTATCATTTATCTTGCCAAAGGTGTGTCTTAACCTAGCGTAGTTACCATTATATTTTGGTAATAATTCCGGTCATGATGCGGATCCTGAAATTGCATGAGTTACCCCTATTCCCTAGTAATAAGGGTAACTGATGCATTTCTGGATCCGCCAAGATGGTAGGGGTAACTGATGCAATTTCTGGATCCGCCAAGGTAATAGGTAACTATCACCTGAAAAGATAAGGAAATCAACAGAACATGCAACAAAACCAAAGAAACAGAAAAGAGAACACCCACCCACCTCATGAACAAAAGCAAGTAGAACAGAAAGAAAACGAGGAGAGCCACGTAGCCGGCCACCTTCCATTCCCGGAAGAAAGAAAACGGGATTTCTTCGATCTCACGGGCCGCCCTCAACGCGCCGAAGTCTACGGGATGTAAACCCATGTTTCGCACGAGCTCTGACACCAGGCGGCGAGCACGGGCGTTGTCGCTGCTAATTGGGATCTGAAAAAAAAAAAAAAATGGATGAAAATTGGGATCTGAAAAAATGGATAAATGAAAATTGGATCTGAAAAAAATGGATAAATGAAAATTGGATCTGAAAAAAATGGATAAATGAAAATTGGGATCTGGAAAAATGGATAAATGAATGAATAAAAAAGAAAGAGAGACTCATAGATAAACCGATAGACTGAGAAATGGACAAGAAAGAAAAACACAGATAGATAAACAGAATAGATATATTAAAGAGAAAAAAACTAAGCACTCATTAATCCCGTTCTTAAAATAATAATCTAATCCATGGATTCTCAGCATGAAATGGTCATTAGTAAATGTGTTTTCTTACATTCCTAAAATGGTACACGCACGCACACACATCTATTTTTCTAAAATGTTTGATGAATTTGATGGATACAACTAAGATTGCTTAACTTTTTTATATATAATTCCGTTTATCTACAAAAAAAAGAAAAAAACTGGTATTTCTATATAAGAAATAATGTTTCATTTTCTTACAACACACACAACAATACATATATATATATATATATATATATATATAATATATATAATATATATATATAATATATATATATATATTTATCTTGTATATATATATATATATATATATATATATATATATATATATATATATAATATATATATATATAAACCTCCGCATAAATCTTTGAACTGTAATTATTTCTTCTTTGAAAATGTTACAATGAGGTCAATTGCTTTGCACAATTCATGTTCATTTTTTTTCTTTTCCCATTTTTATGTTCTTTTAGTATGGGTTTCATCGTGTTCATTCCATCATCATGTTGCTTTAGTGTCATTATCTTTTCGCATCACTTGTTCTTCCTATCAATCATCATCATTATTTTTCCTTATTATCATGCTCCTCTAGTTCATCATTATCTCTCTTCTCTCCTTATTCTCATCTTCATCCAATACTCCGGTAATCCAATACATCGCTATCACTGTTTTTTATTATCATTCTCCTCTTCATCATCATCATTATTTCTCTTCTCTCTTTCTTTTTATCCTCATAATCCTCATTAGATTTATGCTTCATCACTCACTTGTCTGTTCCTTCCTCATAATTAATTATCCACTTCTCTCGTCCCCCTCCTATTCCTTATTCATCTTTACTTCTCATATTTTCTTTTCCATTATTCTATTTCTCTGTTCTCTCTCTATTCCTCCTATTCCTTATTCATCTTTACTTCTCATATTTTTTTCCATTATTCTATTTCTCGTTCTTCCTCCATTTCCCTATTCGCCTCATTCCTTCTCGATATCATTCCTTCCTGCTTTTTCTTATCACTTTGCTCCCATTCTGGTCCTCCTCATATCCGTGGCTTATCCTCCTGCTATTCCTCACACTAATAACTCCCTCATATTCCCCGCACCTCCTCATACGTATTAACCACCTCCCTGCTTCACCCTTCTCATATCCTTGCTTCTCCTATTCATCATTCATTCTTCTGCTCCTCCTCCATTCCCTGCATCTCCCTCCTCGCCTCCTTGCTTTTCTCATTCATTCTCCATTCTCCTTTTCTTCCTTCTAGCCCTCCTCACCTCCCCTGCTCCCCTGCTTCTCCCTGCTCCCCTGGCGTCCCTCTGTTCCCTCATCTCCTTGCTGCCTCTGACGTCCCCCTCTTTTCTCCTCCTCACCTCCCTGCCCCCTCTTCTCCTCCTCACCCTCCTGCTTCTCCCTCACCTCCCTGCTCCCCCCCCTTCCTCCTCAACTCCCCTGCTTCCCTCCTCAACTCCCCTGCTTCTCCCTCCTCCCTGTTCCCTGCTTCTTCCCCTCACCTTCCCTGCTTCTCCCTCACCTCCTTGCTGCCCCTGACGTCCCCCTGCTGGAGGGCGAAGGCGGACAGCGTGTTGAAGGCCTTGACGACGTG